AACTCAGCTGCACCTAGCCAACAGGCCAAGTTGGTGTCGCGCAGCGTTTCGCAGCTTTTGGCCATTGACGGCGTATGAAAATATGTATGTATATATCTCCAAACTCCATCTCTCCAAGCGGCGGCAAAGCGTTTCTTTTCGAATTTCTTTCGCACTTTTTCACCGATTTCATTCACTCGAGCGTAGAACACACACACACCTGTACTTTACATACTTGCATATGTGCATATGTATGTGTTAACTAAGCGTATTTGGTTATTTTTGTTTATTCCTCAGCTTTTGTTTGGCAAAAGAGATGTTGATTGCAGCCGATGCGTAAAGCTGAGACAAGTTACGATGCTGCACTGCATTTTTATATGACTTTCTTTAGTTGCTTCCTTAACTTAGCATCTTTATGGTATGGAAGCAAACGGCATGCACATGATCGGCATGACAACACTGTTCAACGTTTTTCGTCTGCTCTTTCTTCCCACTGTCTTCTTGTAAGCTTTAACCATTTAACAAATAGCTCGATTTAAGCCAGGCATAAGCTTACGCGCCATGTAGCGTCTGCGTATTATTCATGACGCACTCTTTATATGTATGTATGTGTGTGTGAAATAAATTTGTAAATATGTATGTAGATTTGTATTTACAGTACACTTGTCACGAGTTTTCCGGTTGACCGCTTGCAGCCTCATGTTTAGTCTAATAAAAATAAATAATAATAATAACCCGTACAGTGGCTCAAATAAGTGTTCACATGTTGATTTTTTTGTTTTTTAAAATTCCTAAAGTTTTTTCAGTTAATTTTTTTTGTATATGTATACATATACGAATTGCAGTTTCAAACTTCATTACAATTTTCGTCAATAAATTTGAAACTTTTTAGTAAAAGTTTTTATTGCAGGTTTGGGTATGCAAATTGCAAGTTTCAATCGCCTAAAAGGTGCCGTTCATTTTTAATCATTTTTTTCTGACAAATTTTTGAGCTTTTTTATATAAACTCAAATTTCTTATCGAATAAGCAAAAAAGTGTCAAAAAATCAGCGTCAGTTTTAATAAATTCCGCTTGTCATATAAAAAGCTGTCAGCCAAAATAAAAAAAATGCTGTCAGCCAAAAAATTTTTTAAAATCAACGCAATTTTTTAGCCGGGTTAAATTTGGACTTTAATGCTTAATGCGCCATAAAATTGCGTAGCCAAAAATTTTCTAAAAATTCGGATTAAATTGTGGGAAATTTTGATGAAAATTTCTTAAATTTTTCGAAATTTTGTATGAAGTTTTAATCTTGAATTAACAAGGTTTTGGTTAAAGTGCGAAAAAAAATTCTTTACAAAAAAAAATTTTCATTTGTAAAAGATTTTTAAAATCAACATGTGAACATTTTTTTGAGTCACTGTATATATGTACATATGATTATATGAATATACATATGTACATATTTATAAACGTATTCATTTACCTACTTTGTGACGTCATATTGTTTTCGTTTCCCTCCTTTTCGCTACGTGCAAAAAGTAACGATTTTCTGAGCGTTTGTTGTTAGGGAAACATAGCCGGTTCCTCGTCTTGTGGTAAACGGGTTTTGACACGCGTCGTAGCCATGCGTAGTTTAGTCTGATGCAACGATACTACTAATATTAATTTATTTATTAATTACACTGGTCTGCACACAAAACTTAGCTATGCAGTAAATTTGTTCAGCATCGAACTTCTCAAAAGTAAGCCGGCGATTAATCAGTGGACGCGAAGTATCTCCACCATTTTGAGAAGCAACGAAGATAGACCTCTGGCTCCGAAACCTTCTACCTAACTGAATTCCGGATTTAACAAGCTCCGCATTCATGTGACATTTAGTATCGCAGCTATGCGATTGATATCCACAGTTACTTAACCATCTGCTGATGAATTTCGCTGACAAAAAAAAAAAATATTTTTTTTTTCAAATTTTCATTGAACTCTACATAAGACAAGTCCTGCGCCTCAGATGAAAGAATTATTACATTTTAAGTATTACCTCATCATCGACAAATTGTTTGATGCTGTTTCGAGAATAAAAGGCTTCCTTAGAAGATATTCCTATACACGAGGGTAGGTAATATATCGTCCCCTCAATATAACAATAGCGTATGTGCTCATACGCCATTATTTTTTTATTGCATATTTAGAATCTCCATCATTAATTCTATGTCTGGTCAAAATTTCGTCAAATTCTACTTCCACAAAGTGGGTCAAAATGTCATTGGAAAAAATGGTGTATAATTTCTTGTTCAAAAATTTCCTTCAAACAAAAAAAAAAACAAAAACTTTAAACTCGGTTTTCTCAAAACCCCAAAAAAATTATACGCTATTGTTATATTGAGGGGACGATATGTACATACAATAATAAGCATAAATAAATAAAATACAGTAGAGCGACACTCTGGCATTATCGCGTCGAGTTTATGGTTGCTTTAGTAGTTCTGATGGCAAATGCTTATTGGTCCCTTTTGTATATGCCATACAGGGTATCCATCCGTTGAACAAAGTAATCGATGCATCCATTGTTTAAGAAATTTCAATATCCAACGGTTTCTTAGATAATCATTCCTATAGAACTTAAGTGTAATGTCGTAAATATTATCCATTATCGAGCATATTCTGTAGTGAAGATATTATTACAGCAGCAAACCGTTATATCAACTTTTCCAAAATACTCGTAGCTTCTAACTACGTGTATTAAAAGCATTTTTTTTCACTCAAATCAACAAATGCACCTATTGTTAATTTCACCGTTAGTGATTACCAAAAGAACCATGTCATAAATACCTGTACAATGAAACTGTTAAATAGCTGTTATAAAATATTTATATGCAACATAAGTGTCATACACTTACATACATTGACCATGACACCGCAGATCTGTCGCTTGAGGTCAACGTTGAAAAGCTTTCATAAAGACACTCTCAAACAACGCTCTTCAAACGAAAACAATAAAGTGTGTGATAAACGTGCACTTACTCGTATCTACGTAGTACGTACATATGTAAACATGACTCCACCTGCAGGAAATTTGAAACTGGAATTGTATAATAAGTAATTTTTTGGAAAACTTTGGAGAGGATTTTAATTTAAAAAGCTTTCACCAAATGGACCGAGTTTAGTAAGGACTTACCTTTGATAAATATTTGGTATATAAGGGCAGATTTTAAAATATAAAAAAAAATCGAAAAATGCATATAAAAGGACACAGTAGAAATGGAAAAGAAAATTTTTTCTGGCAAAATTTCTTAAGTCAGTTTTCAGCTCTCAAGAAAAAATGCTCGCATATTAGTTCAAGAAAATTTACAGCAAAAGCGAAGTACCCTTTCAAACAACAGAAATTATGAAAAATATTTCTTGTGATTTTTCTTAAGAGCTGCAAACAGCCCTTTAATAATAAGTTTAAACCAGTATGAACTTTTTTCAAATTTGTTCAATAGAAATCTGTACTAGCTGTGTCATAATATCAAATTTGTTACATATACATTAGAGGGGTCCAGAAAAAAATTTTCCGAGATAGGACTTGGGGCATCTTCCAAAATTTTTTTTTTGCAGAAAGAGGTGCTGGTACCAAGTTTTACGCTTTTAAATAATAAAGAAAGAGGATGCTCAAATTTTACTCTAGAAGTATTGTGTACATATGTATCTACATTAATCAAACAATTGGTTAAGCAACCTAAAAACATTTCAAATTGAAATTATCTAAAAAAATAGCACAAGCTTCAGTTGTCATGGCAACAGTGACTTTTTATAAAAATCACTAATATTTCTTCCAGTTTCAGAGCGATCCAGTAACGCATTTCAAGGTCATTGAGCACCCTGTATTGGTTACAGTAGAAAATTGAAAGTTGGTACAGATATTACAATTATCAAAAGGGAAAAATTTAGCGGGTGCTCCGTTTTCTAGGATCAAATTTGTTTTCCCCTATATAAAAATTGTACCGCTCTAATATGCGTCAATATGTCGATATATTTTTGAACAAAGGGTCTCTAGAATTTCCTACAGGGTTTGCTAATCCATTGCATGTGTTTTAAGTCATCGTCGCTTGCGTCTTCACTGCGTAGACAATTGCTTGCTTTTGTCTATCTAAATCATGCATAGCTAGTAGCCTTCTCAGCCGATACATTGTATTCCCATGCCGAGATTTTTGGCTATGAATGGGTAGAAGTGTGGACGATTGTTACGTTATTTCTTGTAACAGTTAGACCTTTTGTACTAATTACAACAGCTGCTAAGTTGATTACGACTACTTAGCAGTTGCTCACGTGTATTATATAATTTAATTTTTTTTTATATAAGCGTTTGCATGTCTAGCCAAATGTGGCAGTGCGTTTCTATTATTTAGTCTGGCCAATAACCCGAAAATCAAAAAAAAAAAAACAAAAAAAAAACGTACCTACATGAACTTCATTAAAATGGCAGTGAACCGTGAAAAATTTTCCAAGCTTCTGTATAAATGAAATTAATGTTAGGTGGTGTAACAGGTACTTTTTCTCAGACGAACTTGGGTGAATCACAATGTTCTATACTTTATACAATTACAATTTGTTATTGTAATCACTATGAAATATATCTTCGGGTGCAAAACACTCAGGGATGGTATCGCAATGCATGCTTACTTAACTGAAAAGTTCGTAGATTTTTCGTTTTTCGCTCATCTATTTTTAATTCCTCACACAAGCATTTAAAATTTGAAAAAAAAAAATTTAGTTTTTCAGTAAACGCTGGCGGTTGTGTGCCCAGAACGGCATTCTCAGGTCTGGAATCTACGTAACTTGAGACCGACTCCCTGTGAATGCCGCTCAGGACCTGTCGATATGCTGACGGGTACAGAGGTTGCTTCGTCCGTCAGTTCGTATAGATGCCTGCTGATATGCCTTGGCGAGGGCTGCTCTGAATACTTATAGTTTTGGACTTCTCCTTCAATATTGCTGCAAAACTGGAACTTCATCTCAATCCACAACTAATAATTAAATGTTCCAACTTTAAGTTAAACAAAGTAAATTATATATTTTTCGACAACAATTCACACACTTTTAAATATATATATACAATAAATAACTGTTAAGGACCAAATAGTCCCATGCAGGCCTCTTACAAATTAACATTTTCCCATTTTCACTTTCTAGTTCTACTTGCCGATCGAAAACTGTTTACCCAAGCGTATCCATTCCAATATGTATTCGTTCCTGTATTCTGGTTGTAAGGATTATATTGATTGTAGGGATTATATCTATTATACGGATTGTATATGTTGTAGGGATTACTATTCGTGTTATATAGATAACTGTAAGGATTATTGTTATTATTATTCCAATAGTTTGAGTAATTGGGGAAAGCATATTGCCCAATGACCCAAGGCCGAATGCGTATATTTTGTCCATACCCGTTATACGGCGTACTGCTTAGCTGCGAAAATTGTGGCAGTGGTGTAGCGTAGGGATCCACATATTGCACAGCTGTCAACTGTGAAAGAGAGAGAATATGGAAAATTTACTTAATGCGGTTTGTGAATTTCGCTAATATTTATTGCGTTTAATTACCGAAAGTGCAATGGCATTTATGCACAAAAAACAGAAAAGCAGAAATTTCATTTTTTTAATACAGTTTTAGTTCAAAAATTTTAATATTTATTGTATGAGTACGAGTACTTTAACTGCGCTTAGCTCTGACTCTGACTACTCCAATTGTTGTTCACACTTCCTCTGTTGAATGGCATTTGTATATGCCGCACACAATTTTCAACGCTTAAATAGCATAAGGTGTTTTAATTTTCCCCCAGATAAAAAAGCGTGAAAATTTTTAGGTTTTTTACGTATATAGAGTTTTACGGGAAACTAATATGTATGTATGCGCCTTTGTGTGAAATGAGTTTAATTGGACGCATTCGTCATTGAACTTGACTGATTGTTGAGCACTGCTACATACTGCTATGTATGTATGTATGTATGTATCGAGGTATGCAAATGTACAAACATATATAAGTACATACTTAAGTATGTAATGGGATGTACCCAGACTATGAAATTTGTTTGAAAAGCATGGTGTTTAAATTTTGATGAATAATGGTAAAGCTACTCAATCGAAACGTTAATTTAAGGACATAAAAACACAAAAACAATTTGAGTTTTTAAGTGACGGCTTAACTTCATTTGCTGTAATTTACAATAAATTCAAATGAGTGCTACTTACATATATATGAATCGATTAATTACTAAAGGAAATAAGTCAGAATTTTTTCGATATTGCATATTTGATGCAGTTCAACAGAGCTACTTTAAACAAATCGAACTGCATCATAATTTTCGTAAAAAAATAAAATTTGATTTATTCCCTTTAGTAATTAACTGATTCATATGTACTTATTATAGTTACAAGCTTAATTTATGTTTACGAATTTGTATTTAAAATTAATCGGCCAGTTTTTAACTTTATCGGTGATGTTTCATTTTGCTTACTGTTTAACTAATTCAATACATTTAATTGTATATCCATATATATGGGGCGTTCCACACCAAAATGGATTGATAAGCATAAATAAAAAATATATCTGAAGTTTAAACACAAAATGTAAAAAAATTTTAATGTACTCATTTTACTCAACTTCGGTGTAAAAAAAATCATAACTCAAATTGATGTAGAGTGCAGAGTATGTGAAAAATTGTTCAAGAAAAAAATATTTTTTAAATATTTCATTTCATAGAGAACTTTGATGCAAGGCACATAAATACAGGTAGAAACCAAAATGACGTTGCTCTAATGAGAACCAAACCTTTAAACTTCAACTTGATTTTATTTTATTTCCTATATTTCGTTACGCTTAAAATGTCATGTCGTTTGTTTTTTTGAATGTTCGTTAAAAACAAATTTTAATTAACATTTGCATTTTTGTAGTGTTGTGCGGTTTATACTTAGTGTATGTGTTAAAAATGCAGCACCTGAAGCGTTGTTTTTTATGTGGTGTTAAATATAATGCAGACATCACTAATTTTTTTAACGTGCCTCAATGCTCTCGGCGTAAGGAGCGTTGGGAAAGCAGCTGTGGGGTAGAGCTGCAGCGAAATGCCTTGCTGTGCGTTAAGCATTTTAAAGCAGCAGATTTCATAAATGCACCAGGAGGTACAGGAAAGGCACGTTTGATGCCAAGTGCTCTTCCTATGACCCTTATGCCGGAAAGTCCTTCCAACAACACTGCAACTCATAAATCAAGTTGTGAAAGCTTAATAAATGATCGCGCTTCACAAACTGAGTAAGCATTGTTAAAACGCGATATATTTATAGAAATATTTTTAATTTAAGTCGTTTAGTGGAGACTTAGAACAATCCAGCTACAAACTCGAAATTCTGTTGCTGAAGTCAAGAATTGAAAATCTGGAGGGTGAAAACTCAGCACTCAAGACAGAGTTGGAGAAAGCCAAACTTATTGAAAATGCATTCCAGGGAATGTCGCAATCATTATTTGAGTTTCGTTGTTTTATTGATTGCCCAACGTTATGCCTAGTACATATATCGCTTTATACATACATTTGTATATTATACAAAATTAAAACAGGTACTATAAATATAAACTTTCAATGTATAAAAAAATAGAAAAGAACATACAAATTAACAAATTTTAACGAAAGAAAATAAATAAATAAATACAAAACTTCAAATTTACTTAAAAACGTCAACCAGCGAAATGTAATTTTTTTATTTTTCCTTACACACGCTCATTTTTATTTTTATTCTCCCGAAAACTTTGACTTTTGTAGGTTTGATGTCAATTTGGCTTCTACCTGCTTTTATTGTACCATGCTTTGATGTGTGTATGTGTGATTTTTTTCAAATTTTTTCCTCACCCCGTTCTCGAGAAATTATTAAATCGTTTTGTTTTTGTGCTGTAAAGTTTTTTAAAATACATTCATCAAGCTCAAATTTCATATTTGTTTATTATTTATGTTTGTCCGTCAACCCTAATAATTTGAAACAAATGAAACACATGAAGTGTGAACCCCGTTCATTTTGGTATGGAACGCCCCATATACATAATAGCAGTGTTTATCAATAAATTTTGTACTAAAAGCTTTTAATTCAATTAAATCATCGCTAAGATGATGTGCACAGTATAACGGTCGGCCTGCGCTGCATGGCATAGAAATTGATTTGGAAAGGATTTCTGTACTATAATCGGGGTACTGATGTTTCGGAAAAATGTTTATCAGGTCGATTCTGAACAGAACCTCCCCGGAGAGTATTCTCTCTTTTCCCTTTCCTCCTATAATGAACAAATATTCCCTGTGGATTTTTATATTAAATGGCGGAGTTGAGCTGTCAAAAAATCGTCAAACAGCTCTTTCAAAGTTAGAATTTCCTCCTCCCAAATTTGCGGGGAAAATGCTACTCCCTGGAAGTTAGTTATTGGAGGACTTCTTTCTCCAGAGAAACAAATTCCCGGACAACAAACTCTCCGGGAGTATTTAGAATTGAGCTGTATATGAATATGTATAAGCATATGGGGAAGTCTTTTTGCCGCCACAAAGCATCTGCACTATCAAGTCCAGTTTCTAAACCTTCGTTAATACCACGCATATGTGTAATAACGGTTTAAATGACTTATTTGGTCGCTTAAATCGAGAAAAGCAGGAAATTTCTAGTGCAACTGGCATAAAATCTACTTCTTGAGCGATTTGACCTAAAGCTGGGGATTTTCAGACATTTATTTGTAGGTTCTGAACAATTAAAAGCAGCACAACCAATGAAAGCAAAAAAAAATGTTGATGCCTTGGTGCAATATTTTGTGTTTATGTAATTTTGCCTGTGTAAAAAAATGCTCACCTCTGAAAATTATTTTAATGATCAGTACTGGATAATCCTTACGAATATTATAAATGCGAAAGTGAGTTGGCTTGTTTGACACGCTTTCACGCTTTAACTATTCAACCGATTATAATGAAATTTTGCACACTGGTGTCACTTAGCCAAACTTAGATTATCGGTCTCGATTAGCCAAATGGGCGTGGCACGGAACTTTTTATACCGCATATCCACGACCACCAGATAGTCCGAGTCGTGTACAACGAATACATAATGGACTTAGCTCATCGAAATTTTTATGCTTAGGGTCTTTTGTTCGACGTCCGGTGAACGCAAACCGAAGGTAAAAGTTCCGGTTAAATATAACGACTGCTTTATCCGCAAAAATGTGGAAATTGAAAATTGATAATGATGTTTATCCAATCGTCCAATCGAAACATGGTTAATCAGGGTCTGCCATACATAGCAGTTAGCTGCGATTTGATTACGTCAAGAGAGCAGCGCCAATACCGAACAAATCATGTTTTTGTAAAAACTGCTTCAAATCTTTTGTTATGCTATTTCAAAAGGGCCTATTTCCGTTACCACTTTTTCAAGTATCAGAACAGGGCCAAATTGCCGGTATTCCTTGGAATCGGACTCGACAGAACCGATGACTAGTGTCTAGTAAGGACAAAGATATTTCTGGAATGGACCATTTGAATAAAAAGTTTTGATAGAACTGGGTACATATATTGATAAAAGAGGAAGTACCGCTCTTAATCGAAATACAACTGACTTCAATGTTCATAAAAATATTTTTTAAAAAAAAGTTAAAATAAAAAGAAAAATTAATTTGCCCTAAATAGGACAAAGCCGTTAGTATGGTCAAACACTTATCAAATAATCAAACTATAATTTTCACCGAATTTTCACAGTTTTTCATTTTGAAGTAATTTACTTGCATGACTAGCGTATCGCCTAACTAGGGAATCACCAAAACAAATTGTCGAATTAGTCATCTATGTGTGCTATTTGTCAAATTTGCAAATTTTCTTCATAAATTTAATTTATACTTGATTCCTTTTATTTCGCAAAACAATCAGTTGTGAAATTTTAATGCGGCCTAATTTCATTTAATATACATATGTACACTGATTAACGTCATACGTACACACACATATATATAAGTATGTAAATAAATTTTCCTGTATCACACTTAAACCTTTTGTATTTCACACAAAATTGTTCGTTCAATTTAAAAGCTTAAAACCAACCATTAGTCACAGATCGATGATTTGAAATGTGATTGTCAACAGGCGCATATCAGCGTACAATTTGAAATCAGCAGAAGTGCAATGTGTTTGTGGAAATAATCGCGCCGTTGGATCACCATTAAAAATTATCCAATAAAATCAAAGTGGGCGTGGGTTTTAAAGACTAGAGTGTCTACTACTGACTGAAAACTCTGAGCTTTTGAGGAAAAGTGGAAATGTTCCAAGAACTTTGAAGATAAATAATTTTAACGGTTAGATTGTGCAACTTGTCCATTTCAATATTACTAACCGAATATGGGGACGAAAAAAATTCTTTATCGAAAAAAAGAAAACACCTATTTATTATTTTATTTCGTCACGATATTCGAAAATCGCGAAAAAAAAAATTAGATTAAAACAAAACCTAGGGTGCTGGATACGTCTCTAGGCAATTCCGAAACTTTAAGGGATATTCAGTACATACACGACCTTAGCGTTTACAAGAGTAAACTGCAAAAATTGGCCATTCAAGTAAGTCCTCGAGTGGAATCCGTACCTGCCAGTAACTCAATTGTAAAGTAAGAATGCAGTTTAGAATAAACAATGTATAGGTACTAAATTTACAAGCTTTGCGGATAACTGTAGTTTTACAATATTTTATTACTATATATTTTTCACGTCTTTCACAATTTT